AACACAACCAAAGGAGTAACCTCCATCATTAATGGGGAAATAGGGGGAGGTGATGGTAAGAACCCAAACATTGTCAGAAAACGATTGGTCGAAGAAGCTAATGAGACCATTATAGAGGTCTGCGGTAGTCCAGTCAAGTGTTTAGTGGATACAGGATCGATGGATACCACATGTAGCGAGTCATTTTTTCGATCATTATCAGGAGAATTAGAGCTCAGAACGTTGGGGGATTTCGGCGTGGATGTATATTGTGCTGATGGTAGTAAACTGCCATATTCTGTGTATTTTGAGGCGGAAATTGTGTGTCTAAACAGGAAGGAAACAGTGTCTGTTTCAATGTTGGTAGTACCCGAAACAAATTACAACAGAAATGTTCCTGTGATAGTTGGCACTAATGTACTCAGATTATTAGCACTTGGAGAGGCTGAGGGGATAGGCCAGGTTTGGAAGACGGCCCTCGGCAGTCTAGAGATTGGTAATTCTCTATCGGTAAGAACCACCAATAGGATTACTAAAATCGGTGCCGGGGAGACGTTGACTATACATGGGATGGTAAGACAGTGTAAAAACTTGACACGGTTATGGTCGAGACTAGTGTAGATTCTCCTAAGGGAGTGGTAGTATGTCCCAAAGTGGTGAAGTTGACCGCAGGCTCAACAGCTAGAGTGGCTGTTAGGGTGTGTAATTTGTTAGCTTATCCTATACAAATACCGCGAGGATCGGAACTTGGTACTTTGAGTGAGGTCAAGGTTGTTGACCACTGGAAACCTTAAGAACACGGTAAGGATATAGCGAGTGATCAAAACAACACCCCATGAAAGCCTAGTGGTGAAATCTTAGGGGTTCAGATTGATTCTGATAACTTAACCAGTACCCAGAGATTAACAGTACAACAGGTATTGGGGAGTTGGAGCTCATTATTTTCCACAAGTCAGATGGACATAAGTTGTACAGGGTCAGTGAAACACGGTATAAGGTTGCACGATGACAGACCCTTTAGACTTCCTTATATGAAGATACCCCCGGCCATGTATGAGGAGGTAAGACAGCATCTCAAGGAGATGAAGGAATCTGGTGTAATCGAGGATTCAATGTCTTCATATGCTTCAAACTTAGTGTTGGTAAGAAAGAAAAATGGTCAGTTAAGATTTTGTATAGATTATAGGACTTTAAATTCAATGACTATTAAGGACAAGTACACGTTGCCAAGAGTTGATGACACCCTTGATACTCTTGTAGGGTTCAATTTTTTCTCAAAATTGGACTTAAGGTCGGGATACTACCAAGTAGAGATGTGTGATGAGGACAAGGATAAGACAGTTTTCTCTGTTGGTCCTTTAGGATTTTATCAGTTCAGGAGATTACCTTTTGGTCTCTGTAATGCTCCATCGACGTTTCAGAGGTTGATGGAGCGATGTATGGGTGACATGTGTCTCCGCGAATGTTTGATATTCTTAGATGATGTCCTGATATTTTCGGAAAATTTTGAGGAGCACATAAAAAGGATTGAGGCAGTTTTTGAGAAACTTAAGTTAAACGGTCTTAAAAACCAAGGTTAAGTACCTGGGACATGTGGTTAGTGAGCAGGGAATAACTGCCGATGAGGTGAAAGTAGAGACATTAAAGTCTTGGAAACCATGCGAATCGGTTAAAGAGGTAAGGACGTCCTTGGGTTTTACAGGATACTATCGCAAGTTTGTAAAGGGATATGCAGCAATAGCCCGACCTTTAAATGATTTACTCATTGATCATCCCACTGTGAAAACCAAGTCAAAGAAACCTAAAACTCCATTTGTTTGGTCGGAAGAGTGTAAAAAGGCATTTGAGCTACTCAAGGAGAAGCTGATGAGTCCGCCAATTCTGGCGTATGCCGATTACTCAAAGCCGTTTAAATTAAACACAGATGCGTCATAAGAAGGACTGGGAGCAGTGTTATACCAAAACCAAGAGGGTAAGGACAGGGTGATCGCATATGCCAGCCGTGGTTTGAAACCTAGTGAGAAACTGTATCCGACTCACAAACTGGAATTTTTGTGTTTACTTACAATGGGCAGTCACCGATAAGTTTAAAGATTATTTGTATGGTCAGCCAGAGTTTGAGGTGTACACTGATAATAATCCTCTTACATATGTCACAACATCAGCCAGGTAAGACGCAACAGGGCATCGTTGGGTCGCTGAATTGGCAAACTTCACATTTAAGCTTATCTATCGCTCTAGCAAGAGCAATGGTGATGCAGATGGGTTGTCACGTAAACCCGGACAAGGTGAGCAATGTGTATTTCCTGAAGTTGTGCGAGCTGTGTGTACAGCAGCCACTGTGCAGAGAGGTGAGTTACCTTTAGCTGAGCCTTTAGTATTATGCAGTGCCGCACAGTTACCGTGAGCGGAACATGATCAAGCCTTATCAGGTGAGAGCTTTAGTCAAGTTGACTGGTTAGATGAGCAGCAAAAAGATGCTACTATTCGGCGGGTAGTAGAATTGAAACAGTTGGAGACTAAATTGACGGGAAACAAGTTAGCCAGATACCATATTGCAGTGAAGAAACTGTTAAAGGTCTGGGCCCGTTTACAGGTAAGACAAGGGAAACTAGTTCATAGTAAACAATTTGACGGTGAGTATGTATGGCGTATTGTCCTTCCCCATAAGTGGAAGTCTCGGGTGTTGAAAGCTTACCACAATGATCAAGGTCACCAGGGCCGGGATAGAACCAAGATGTTATTGGTGTGGGATGGAGGAAGATGTGAGTGAACAGGTGAGGAGTTGTAATAGGTGTATCAGAACACAAACTGCAGTGACAAATAGGGCAGAGATGGTTGGAACTGTGTCGTCAGAGCCGATGGAGTTGGTTTGTCTTGATTTTCTATCACTGGAGAGAACCAAGGGAGGCTACGAGCACATTTTAGTGATCACGGATCATTATACCCGTTACGCCCAAGCTAAACCTACCAGAAATCAATTAGCCACTACGGTAGCCAGAGTTCTATTTGCCAACTTTATTGTCCACTATGGTTTTCCTGCCAGGCTTCACAGCGATCAGGGTAGAAATTTTGAATCAAAGATCATTCAGGAACTATGTAAGGTAGCTGAAACAAGGAAGTCTCGTACTACACCTTTTCACCCTCAGGGGAACGGCATGACCGAGCGATTTAATCAAACACTGTTTAAGATGCTGGGTACATTAGAGGACGAGGAGAAGCAGAATTGGAAAGCACACGTACAAACCAGCAATGGTTCATGCATACAACGCAGCAACTCATGTGAGTACAGGTTTTCCCCCATTTTATTTGTTATTTGGGCGACAACCTAGGCTGGCTGGAGATGCCTATGTTGGGTTACATGACCAGGAGTTTCCTCAGTTTCAACCAAAGACGGAATATGTAAGTAAGTTTAAGTCTAGGTTACGGTTTGCTTACCGGACTGCTGAGAGATATGCCAAGAAATCTGCAAAACCCTATAAACATTATTATGTTCTTCGGGTAAGGTATTCAGTTCTCAAGGCAGGAGACCGGGTGTTAGTAAGAAATGTTAACCTAAGGGGTAATTGCAAACTTGCTGATAAGTGGGAGAAATTGCCCTACAAGGTTTTGTCCAAACCTCACAAGGACACACCAGTATACAGAGTTCGGCCCGAACAAGATCCAGGTAGAGTTAGAACCTTACACAGAAACATGCTGTTACCTTACGCGGGACGGAATGAGGCGCAGCTTCAGGATGGAACTTCGAGTTCTAGAGTGGCTCCAGACTGACGGCGTAAAGCAGTCACCACTGGGGCGGAACCACGGGAAGATAGCATGTCGTCCGGTTCAGGTTCAAGCTCGGAGGAGGAATACCTGTATATACCAACACGGACCCATAGAGGTTTGAGATCTATGTTGGAGAATAATATTCCTGACAATTTCGTTGAGGATGGTAGTGTTGAGAACAGTGAGAACATTGAGGACATTGATAACAGTGTTAGTCGGGTTTCCCAAGAGGAAACCGGACCGGTTATGGGAATGCCGGAGATACCAAGGATAAATGAATCGTCTCATAGGGAAATAGAGAGGGAACCGAGTCCCTGGCGCTCGGGAAGGGTGAGAAATCCTCCAGAGAGATATGGTAATAGGCAAATCGGTCAAGTTGTAGAGGGGGATTGGATTTTATATTAAAACAAATGTAGGGACGGAGTGAGTTTTGTGAATAGATGTCTAATATAATTTTCTGAAAAGCTACAAACTGCCATGCCAGTTGTGGTTCTTGTGTTTTTTTCAGATGTAGGAATTGTGTTAGAGTTGGTCCTTATCATCTTTTCAGATGGAAGAATAATTTTAAATAGATCTTTAGATTTGTTATGTTTGTCAGACGGATAATACATTTCAGATTTGATATTTATAGTATCTTTCCCTGGAATCGTGTTCAGGGTATATCGTCATGATAAATGATGTGTTCTAAAGTAAACAAATAATTTTGCCCATAATCATATTTGGCCGATATATATTCTTTTGTTTACAGGTACTAATATTTGGCTTATAGTTGTTGTCTTTACAGGGTTACAACTAATATGATGCAATAATCTTGTATTAAGGTGCTGACAGCTGAATACAACGATTGAAATAATGACGTCGAGACGACATCTTTAAACAGGGGGAGTATGTCGTAGGGTCACATTTAATGTGTGGTATTAGTTACATGGAGTGTCTTTGTTTACAATGTATTGTGTGGGGTTTCCCCGGTGTCTATGTATAACCTGTAAAATGTGACGTAATTACATTAATTGATTCTGTAAATTCACCGTGCCTATTAGGTATGCATGTTTCTGTATTTCGTAGACTTGCATACATACAGGATAGCGTCATGAAGAACAATATCGAGTGACCCGTAAAAATTAATCGACCGAAACTCGCTGGCAGTTGACAAGGTATGAGTCTATTGAAACGGTACTTAAAGTACATTGTTAAACATGCACAGTTATGTACATTTTTATGCAAACAACCCGTCAATAACAATAACGTCATACCTTTTAACAAACAGCTTTTCATTCAATTAACTGGCGTTAGCTCCACTGTGACTTAGCCTTCAGTTACTCACTCCGAGTTGATCACTTATAACAATTACATGGGTAGTTGGTTTGTCTAAGGTCCGACAAAGATCAGGTACATCGCTACCTACACCGCACATTTCATTACTCGACATAATGATGTATCGACACGCATACAATATACACGTGACACTGTAATAATACTGTTTGAAGTACATACTTATGCCAAGCTGGTGTATGTACCGGAATCCTCTTTGGTTTGACTCGTCTGTAATCCAGTACGGGATGAGTAGGGCTATCATATGTAGAGATACGCTGACAGGCACTGTACAACAGCATATAACTACACAAAGCAGACTTCGACAACACGCCATGATTGTCTACTCTACGTTATACCCGGAAGCTAGTTGGTACATACCTACAAAGGGACATTATGCCGATTTCTGCAAACTTCGGACTTGCTGAGTATGCTTCCCTATTTAAAGGAAGTCTTCTCCCCAAATTATACACATTAATCATATAATGTTAAAATTAAGGCGTAAGTGACTTTTGTTTACACTTACATATATCTAAACGCTGTTACTTAAACATATTTTTGATAACATTTAAACTCTAAATGCACAAACATTACGGACACAAAATAAATGCTGAAGAATAAATCATCTTTTGTAGCAAAATATTTTTTATTTGTAATGTTATTGAGGGTAAATATGCCATTGATCTTTTACAAAGGTTTAATTTCCTTTATCTTTACCTTTAGTATACTGGTGAGTCGTCCTAAAACGACGACACGGCCAAATAGTGCAGTTAAAATATTCAGCAATTTTGGTTAATTGAATTGAAAACCCGAATTTTAAATAGGATCTTCCTTTCTTCGTCCTCCTTCTGGTTATTATAATATACTTCATCTCCTCCTTAAACGAAAGATATTGATCAAAGCTATAGGTAGAAAAGTCATGTTTTCACGTGTTTTTGTATGAGGGTTATTTCACTCTGGAATTTTTGTGTAAACTCATGCTTGAGTGGGTGCTCTCTGGACGTCGACAAAACTTGTGTATATATATTTGTGACTATATCATCAACTCTTATCACCGAATATGGTCATTATATGGGCAGCCATGCATTATCTATTTCGTAAATCTTGACCAAACTTTAAACATCCACCGTTATTCTTGCACCATATACAACAAAACGTCATATAATACTGTTAAAATATTTTATTCGGGGCGCAAAAGTCATATATACAACACATACATGTTCAATTTAAAAACAGTGTCTCGTATTACATCGGATTCTGCATATAAAAAGGTTATCTACCTTATCTGGAGATAGGTTAACTAGTTTAACATAACACTGCATGTAGAGCTAGGTAAACTAGTGTAGAGCTACTATTTATAGAAAATTGACTTTGTTGTAAATCTTCATAGATGAATGTGTTCCTCTCTTAAATATATGTAGAGAAATGTTAGATTGTTTGTGATAACTATGTAATAAGAGCGAGTAAAACTAGTCTGATGCAAATTTATAAAGTGATAAATGAACTAGACAGCAAGTTTCCCGTTCGGCTAAATACTCGGCACATAAATATATATGTGTTTGTACGTACGGAAATGTTAGTTTACTTGGATCTTTATAGAGAATAGAGGGATAGTTGATGGTGATCATCATATACAGAGAACGGTATGTTTGTAATGAATCTCTAAAGAGAAAAAGCTTGTCTGTTGTAACTATGCATATATATATAGTTTAAATAGCACACCAAGCACAATAGAGATACGTGACAAAGGTGGGAATGTACGTGAAGGCAAATCCGTATGTACGTCTAGACGGACTCTGCTCATATCCGAACTTAAAGATGATTCGACCAATTACAAACAGCGACACAAGTACAGGAATGATCTTCATTGATGTCTCTGTCAAATAAGTGCACAATACTAATTGCCCAATCAAGTTACATATAAGTTGTTCAGTTGTGTTTTGTAAAATTCTAACCTTGACCTGCACGAGATGCTCCGCTTGACCATTAATAGGGTCAAGTGCTTTGGTAAACAGTCTCCGCCAGGCAACGTCTATAATAGCAAATAATAAAGTCGATGCAGAAAACAACTGCCATCTCAATGTATAAACACACCTATCCAATATGGAGATCGATGCGTGCCCTGGGAGACCTACACAGTAGTGCTCAGTCATGTGTTCACCGCTCCGGCCCTGATACGGTGCAGTGTAAGAGTTTATTTTTGTATTCTTCCGACACTCTGTAAACGGCTCACAGTACTTGTTAATCACTGAATCACCGTTCATCATCACCAGTGGTACACATATGTCTTTCCACTTACCAGGATTCGGTACACAATATCCATCATTTTGTAACGCCGTAATCGGTACACAGCACGTGTTAGCTGCTTTTACAGCATAGCTCAGCGACTCCGGTATCGTCACATAATGAAACACGAAGAACACATACGCTGCCTGTATCACAATGGCGATGGTTATCTTCCGTATCACGTTGTATCGTTCAGAGGGAGTAGACTCCATGATCTATTTAAGTATATTCTGTACAGTATAGCAATGAAATGATAAAGGTCATTATAAACTCAGTTAAATTCCAAAGTTCAATGATAACACCAAATAGAGTCATCCATTTAGTTTATGTACGACACAGCGAGTGCAGTGTAATGCAACAGCGTCGATACAGCCCACATTGTGTTACCGGCCGCAACAGTGTCTATGTGCCTTTTACACCGAGCCACAACAGTGTATATGTGCCTTTTACATCGAACCACAACAGTGTATATGTGCCTTTTACATCGAGCCACAACAGTGTATATGTGCCTTTTACACAAAACTGTGTAGTTTATCGCTTATAGGAGAAGCACGCTAGATAATTTTAGTCAGAGAACAATGACCTTCCGTGTTGACCTTTCGATTAGCTTACTGATAAACGGCGAGTTGATGATCAGATATGAGAAATAGGGATTTTAATGATACAGATATGCAACTGTTAAAACTGAGGAAATGAGCGAGACAGTCGCAATCACTTACAAGAGGTCAATAGTCCCATGGACATGCGACTCCTACATGCATGGTACAATTTTAATTAGCTGTAAAAACTATATTGTGCAGAGTGCTTGCACTTATCATTTGATGATTATATTCAGAGATCTGGAGATACCCTCTCCTGGGCCTCCAGCAAAAGTTCACAATAGCAAGCTGCTGGGTGTAATTGTTCATAAGGATAGATTTCAAATTAAATCAATAGATAAAAGTACTGAAAACACAATTGATAATAGGACTTCGGTACGTAATACGTTGATGCACATAATTTGCTAAGAGGAGATCAGTAAAAAGGAGAAATCGATGTTATGATTAAAGTATACTAAAAGCTGATTGCAATTACATGCAACATAAATGGACATCACTATAAAACGAGTTTTTGCCAATTAATGATACAAAACCGAGTTGGATTTTAAGGTTGTAACAGTAAATACATGGTGTAGAAACAATAGGGATGTAATTTTAACCTTCCATTCCTAATTAGGGACACAACTGGGAGGGGAGGACAGAAAATGGCTAAGTGGAGGAGAGGCCTGCAGCATTTTCCATCCAACAACAAATAATTATTTTCTTATCAGCTCTTGACTGGACGTGAAAAGTATATGTACTGCAAGCATGACAGGTAATAGGCTACACAAGAAATATTTTCACAACATCTTCTGCTTTTTCAGTTATGAAGTAAGGACTTTAGCGCATCTTTAACTTTATTTAAAATCCTAGCTGCCGGATCTGGTGTCTGATTGATTGATAATATTGAATAGGCCATTTGATTTCTGATTAAATTTCCAAAAGGGTGGGTATTGGGACATCTTCCACGTATACATTAATTTGAAAACTAAGCTGACAGCACTTTAAACTGTATTGGTAATAGTAAAGGAAAACTGCTTAAAACACGCTGTCCGGGCCAAGATGAACACATATAGCCTCTCCATGAAGACATAGAGTGCTATATTTAGTAACACAGACCTATCCACTTATTCGTGTTTTTCTCCGTTATTAAACTGTCTCTGATCGAATAAAGAAAAGGTACCACAAAAGACGAATATTTTCAAACTAACAATGCACTGAAGGATCATATATGATGCAACCGAAATAACGGATCATATACTACAGTGTAAATATAAAAATCCCTTGCTGTGGTTAGTTATCAGATGTGTACAAACAAATCAACAGCAAGAAGTGATCTCAAGCAATGATATTTTCCAGACAACAAAATGTGTTCATCTTCGAATAAAAGTATCTTATATCTTTTGTATACCAAAAATATTTTGATTATAGATGGACTAGGTCCTGAACTTGGTTTGTTTTGGTTAAGTATTGTTTTGCACACAGGGGAGGAGGACGGCCTACACTGTGTGCAAGATGCATGCATGTGTGTATTGGGAGGCTGCGATATGTTCGTGTTTGTCCCCTTGTTAGAGCGCGGAACTGATGCCGACTTTATAGTGCTACCTCACTGAAACATACTGCCCAAGCTACCAGTGACAAAAATATCAATTCAAAATATGTGGAATATATTTAAAAAAAGGATCAAATGAATATATGGTCTATACATCAAAATTCATGACTATATGTATAGTGTAATCATTATGATTGAAAACTGACAGAAAAGAAGAAAAAAACAATTCCAGTTTGGATGGAATGAGTATTTAATCAACAGAGAAGATGTATGGAAAAAAATCGATGTTTGATTCCTTTTCAAGATGGCCACCAAAACATTCATTTTACTGCCCAATCAGTTGTCAGAATCATAGACAACTATCAATGGAATTCAGAGATTGTGTGTTTGATTTCTACTTTGCTTTTATATCTATATTAAAGTAAGACGCCGTATTAACAGCTGATGACATTTACAGATAATATTTTGCAAGATGCAAAAGTATGAAATGTGTTCGAATGGTAGACTCGGGTGCAACTGTTTTGGATTTTGAATATAGCTATGATAGCCAAGTTAATAACGTATACTTGATGTATAAGTACACATTCCCATAGTTCTTTGACCAACTGGGCATTGGCAGTAGTAATCTTTTATTGGAATACAATGTATTATGATTTTGTGTCGTGAATCCAAACAATATATTTAGTCTAGCTTTTGTGTCTGGAACAATTCTGACAACGGATGAGGTCTT